TAAAAGCTATCAATTTTCAAATGTGACGTGATGTGAACAGAAAGCTCCCGCCTCAGAGTTGCTCGTCAGAAAAAAAAGAAAAAAAAAAGTTTGCTAGTCAGGGCAGATGCTAATTTATTTCTTTTATTGTTCTTGTATTGGTTTTCTTGAAGTATGCAGCAGGCTTAAGAGAAAAGTGTACCAGTGTTCTTTCAGCCAGCTGAAGGGCAAAGTGCAGGAACAGGTTAATAAAAGGAATTTCCGTGTTTCTAAATGCTTCCCAGAACCAGAGAAAAGACCTGATACATAAGACGTTCTTTAGCAGCTTATAAAGCAACTTTAAGATGAAAATGTATATGAAAGTGAAGATACTCAGCAAAAATCTCCATAACATCTTAAAGAAAAAGAGGAAGATTAATTAAACATAGAATTCAGCTATAAAATGACATAGAGAATAACAATGTTCACCAACTTTATTTTAAATGTAACAAATAAAGCAAAACAAATTTATTCTATTTCCCTGTAATATAATCATTCTCTCCATTATTTAGAAATCTTGAAAAAAACTTAAGCTATAATAGATTTTGAAATCATGAAACAAGATATTTCTTGAAAAAAAGGTATTACCAATCCTCATAAACAGATATTTTCCAATATGAGCTTCTGATATGCAGCTTTCATCCTTCCAGAAGGAAAAAAACGACTGTTGAGAACATCTTAATGCACCATTAGCTAAAAGAGCGGGGAAAAGGCCTCATGCTGAGTAAAAAAAGGCCGACTGTTTGGATGATGATGTTCAGTGCAAAGAAAAAGGTCACATCCATCCTCTGCAACCGAGTTCACCTTCACTATATTTCATGTTTAAACATAGAGTATAAAAGACCATCGGAAGAAATATTTCCCTCACATTATGAACCACAAGCACAGCTTGCTGTGAGGTGAAGTCATCCAAGAAAAAATTAGTCAAAAAAAGCGACTCTTCAGTGCTAGGTGCCCTTTCAAGTTCACTGACTTAAAATGAATTTAGCTTTGCGGTAGATGAAGGTGTGTTATTAAAGGAGGTCAAAATTTTACTGCAGCACAGTGATCAGAGTGAGTTAACTTTGGGCAGGATGTGTGACAAACAAGGAGGTGGTCAGTTTTTGCTTTATCTTGTGTGGATGAAAAAAAACAGGAACGACTACAGATCAGATCAGAGGGAATCAGAGCAGAGGTAATAACGTTACTCACACACATGTGAAAGTAAAGCCAGGGCCAAGATAGAAGAATGAGTGACACAAACAAATAACCTCAGCAATAATCTGACACCCATATTCAAAAATTAGTCATCACAGTTGTTACGTGTTCAGTTCTTTTGTTTTGTTTGTACCCTTTGGTAATAAAGAAATATCAACTTCATACAGTAAAGAATAATGACAAATGTTCAACATTCATGCAGAGTTCATTATGATTAAATAATGATAAAATGTAGCAGAATAAAGCTTGAGACTAAATTCAGGAAGATGCTCTGGGCGAGTATTTCTGTATAGTAATAAAGGTACTCAGTAAAATCACCTGCCTCCTCCTTTCTCAGATATATTGGTTTGTCAAATGACAAAGGAATCCTTAAAATGGTCCTGCTTACTATTTAGTTAATGTTTCACCGTTGTGCACTTTTTGTTAAATCATTTGCTTATAAATTAGTTCACTTAGTAAAATAGCTAATTTAACATTTCATTAGATGTTAAAATTAAATGTATTCAATATTTCACAGCACTGGATTGTTATAAGGACTAAACAGAGGGAATCACCCCATGAAATTTTAAAACTTCTTCAGTTTACTTCCATTTCTACACAAATTAAACAACCTAACTGCTCAGTAAGTAAATGTGAAAAACACACATTATTTTTTCTTTTAGCATTTTTCACAATAAAATAATAAAAAAAAAACAAATGAAGCAAATTTGGGACAGGTTTCAAGCTACTTTTACATTTGATAAATGTCAAAGCAATCATCAATGCAGGGCCAACATTCCATTAAAACTTTTCGTATTTAACACTCTGTGTGCTTTTATCTGTTTTAAGTTTTCCTTTGTATTACTTTGAAATCTGTTTTTACAAATTGAATGTGTTTTATGATTAAAATGCATTATTATTATTACTATTATTACTACTATTATTATTATTATTATTATTTACATGCACAAAGCTATGAGTGCAAAGAATGCTTGAATCCGTGAGCATCCTTTTGGCCGACAGCGTGAACTTTTGCCATCCTAGATCACCCAAGGTAGTCAGAGCCTCTCCATATGCAGCCAGTGTGGAAAAAATAGGATCGGAGATTAAAAAAATCAGACGCAATCGATGTGACCCAGGCTTCAGAAACATCATATATTATAGTAATTGCAACACTAAAAAATACTTATCCATGTTGGTAAGGTTTTCTAATGTCATGTTTTGAAGAACTCTCTTGAAAAAAAACTTGGACTTCTGTTCCTAGGAGTCAAAACTGAATTTCAATCTCGCTATGGAAATAAAACAAATATTAAAAAAATATATATATTTTAGTTTGCATAGCATATGATAAACATATAAAGAACATATGTATAGTGACACTAGGAAACCCTTATATGCACTGAGTGTTTAGGAATAGATAATATTATGATATTTTAAATTTGTCAAATAGTCAGCATTTCCTCAAACTTAATATTTAGAACGATATAACCACAGAGCCCACATTAGATGCATAGATGCTCTATAATTATTTTCATAGTAGATACAAAAAAATATGTTATGAAAAACCTACGCAATCTTATACTAAACTGTTTTTTTTACAGGTAACATTAATTTAACAATACCTTAAATTTTACTGACTTAATAGCTCATTTCTAACAACACAGTTAA